AAATTTATTTTGTGTACATTATTATAATCACTACTGAGTACAGTAATAATCAACAATTCAGAAACGCAGCATGCCGAGATTTTTGTGTTCGTTTTTATTTGAAACTTCGTTTATTTAGAATATATTTTCGTTACCAATAAAATAAAAATCTCTCAGTCAATCAGAAACCCGGATTCATGCCTTCGAGGAAGGTCCCGTTTGAACGCTCACATCGGTTTTTTTTTTCGTTTGGGGGAAAACTAAAACTGGTCGCAATTTTCGAATAAGAATGAGTCGGCAATTTTTAGTGGAGTCGAAAATTTGGAGGTAAATAAAACACCGAAACCCGGCAAATAAATAGCCAATCGAATTTTTAGAGGGGTCGAAATTTTGGAGTTTTCACGGTACTAATTATTCCATTTCAATGAAACTTAGTACAAAGATGCTCTAGGACAATGTACAAACCTAATTAGTTTGGGGTAAAAATCTGTTCATATTAATTCCCTAATAAGCATAATAATTCATAATTTTTTGGTTCTAATCACATTTCAATTAAACTTGGAGACATAGATTTTCTGTTACATTGCGCAGACCTCATTAGTTTTACACTCAAATCTGGTCATATTAATTTTCTGATTTGCATAATTAGTTTTCAGCTAAGTAATTTCGAATTATATTTAATGTGTCTCCAATACTCTCGGCACATGGGAGTTCTTTCTAAGCTTTCTTTGATTTAAAGTTTAAAGGTAGTTCTGTTCTTGTTCAGTCCATGCTAAACTGTATAGGTCAGTTAATTCATCTGTTTATGCAAACGTTTATGTTTTATGTGTAAAAACAATGCACAATGTTACACAAGACAAATCAAATTGATGTGCCATCACATATAGTGACATTTTCTGTAACATTAGGTGTGTACAAAATTTAATTATTTATTGCCAAATGTGCTTGTGAAAGTTGATGGGTAACAAAGTATGTACAGAGGTGAAGTAAGTTTCCATATCATTGGTCATTGAACCTGTGCAAGTTTTCTATGGCAATTTTTTTTCACTGCAAGTGAAATCACATAATCACGTGACATCCTCCAAGAATCGACAAGCAAAGTGAGTGTTGTCTTTCAGCTCACGCTTAATTCACAGGACAAAAATAAATTAAAACCCAACCTGAATAACTTGATTGGTAGCAGCTCAAAATGAACTACTGTAAAATCAGTATTAGAAGCCACGGTACAATGCAACAGAGGGGATGTGGCTTCTAATAAAGATTTTACAGTACTAGTAACTATATAACCCTTTGGTTCAAATTATGCTTACCTTCAATACATATGTATTTCCAATTGTATAGATCATGTACAGATGTTAAAGACTGCTTTGGATAAGTTATACCAAGTCTAATAGAGATCACCTGCTGTGCAAATCTGAATAGTGGACAAATAATTTGATTAGATCTTGTAATATTTCATAATTAATGTTACAAACACTAATATTTTACTATCACACTTTCAATACTTGCACTACTGGGTATCAATGACTTTACTATAGGTATAACAAAACGTAGCATTATTACAGGTTGAAGGGTACAGGTAAATGAATAAAACTATAAATATCACAGGAAACCTGGTTTATCAAAATTCAAATTTGCTTTCTAAGACGGTCAAATCTGTATGTAATGTAAACAGTTTCATTTTTATTGCTAGAAACATTTTCGTGATTCTAGGATTGTTTAGCATTCATGAAGGCAAAATTTTGTAAAAGTCATTAAGACTCCATGTTGTAGGATCCCAGAGAAATTTTCACTGTCTCACAAACTTTTAAAACTAGCGCCG